AAGGAAGGAAGGAAGGAAGGAAGGAAGGAAGGAAGGAAGGAAGGAAGGAAGGAAGGAAAGTAGCCCAGAGATGTGAAGAACCTTGCTATCAGACAGCAGTGTGAAGTCGATCATAGAAGATATACTCAGGTTAAAATGTATAATTTATCATTTGATCTTCCTTTTGAGCCATTTTATAGTTGTTCAGTTTTTAATATTGTCTGTCTTCTTTCTGATTGAGGTTTTTCTCAGTTCTGTCGTTTTAGTTGGTTTTTTTGTTTGCTTGTTTCTTGTGTTTTGCTTTTTATGATTTCTGTAGATGAAATCCAGGACGGGTGCATCGAGAGGCACAGTAACTGAATTAATCATGACCTCGGGGCAGGGCATGGGAAACTGGGGAGAAATGGGGAGTTTCCAACAATGAGAAGAAAATGTCCTGAACTGCTGCAATGATTATAAAACTCTTTGTAATATGACTGAACTATGGCGTTGTGATTCCACGCCGGGTGGCAATCCAGGCTCCAAGTTTAAAACAAGCAGGCGTTCCTTCTACTCCTCTAACGAGTCTCAGCCTTGGAAACCCACAGGGGAAGTTCTGCCCTGTCCGATAGGGTCACCCACCCTAAGTCAGAGTTGACTCGATGGCAGTGAGTTTCAGTTTTTAATTAATTTGTATGATATGTGAATTATATGCCAATAAAACTATTTTTTTAAGTTGTTGAATAGATTTACTTCTGGGTTCTAAATTCTACCCATTGGTCTGTGTTATTATGTCCATTGAAAAGCCCAAGACATTTCAAGTCTCTTTACTTTCCACTCTAGTCACGAGACAGCAAATCTAGTAGAAACTAGAAAACTTAAACCTTTACTCATTCTTCTTTATACAGTTTTTCAAGGGAAGTGCTATATAACTGACTGTATCAATTCTTACTTACTGAATTCTAGAAGAAAATCACCCTGTTAGCTCTACTAAAGAGTTTAGAGCAGGGGTTCTCAACCTGTGGGTCGCAACCCCTTTGGGGGTCGAAGGACCCTTTCACAGGGGTCGGCTGATTCATAACAGTAGCAAAATGACCGTGGTGAAGTAGCAACGAAAATAATTCTATAGGTGGGGAGTCACCACAACATGAGGAACTGTATGAAAGGGTCACGGCATGAGGAAGGTTGAGAACCACTGGTTTAGAGAAACAAAGCTTTGGTCGGTTAGCTTAGCATGGTTCTAAAAACAACAACAAAGGTGCTCCCTTTTCTCCCAGCCACCTGGAGAAAGCTCAAAGGACAAATCTCTTCCTGTGCCCTTCTGAGTTTCTACAGTACTAGCCTACTGAAACGGTTAGCTCTGAGTGTTGGTTAAAGAAATTACGATTCCACTTACCATGGTTAACTGATCCTTAGGGGTGGGTACTGGACTTAAATCACAATCTGCAGAGACCTCTCCTTCTCGTCTTACATCAAGAATAAGTTGTGCTACATAATTTTCTTGAAACCGCGTCCTTTTTCCCAAAGCACCTGAAAAATACATGTAACGTTCTTCCTGTGGATTTGCACATCAAAACCACTGTACAGTCGTAAAGAGTAATGTTTTTCTGAGAGCTCCGGAGTTTATAATGTTTTTCCCAACTCACATAAGAGAAACCTGGGGCCCAGTGGTATTAAAATGACTTATAAGACTATAAAGCCAAATGCTATTGCACCAGGACCCAAAGGCATATAATTTCAGCCACTGGATTCCATGCACTTACTCTTACATCAAACTATCGCCCCTCTCAAAAAAGATGAATCTATGGTAGGCCAAATAAATACTACAACTTCACATGTGAGATAAACAAGGACAGTTCTGAGGTACCCACTCGCTCAAGATTCTGGGGCTCCTCAGTAGCAGAGCCAGAGCTTGAAGGTGGGGTCTTTAGATTCTAAATCTCAAGGTCTGTTTACCATACTACTCAGCACATGAAACTGAAACATTTCTTCCATTGTGTATCTGAAATATTTTACCGCATAATATCTGATCTCAAACCAATTTATAGAAGCAAAAAGTCCAACATCGATTCTCTGGCAAGAGTCTGATTACAAAGACCCTTAAATGGCAGTGTAAGAAGTCTGGCTTTCATCCCATGATGCGTCTGGCTCAAAGTTATGCATCAACCCTTTAAACACGCTATGCAAGCAACAGCTACTAAGAGAATTTCATACAACTTACCTTTTTATAGTAGGGCTAAGGCAAATGGAAAAATAATCTGATTTTCATCTTATATTTGTGAGTATTGCATTTGTATTTTTAGAATTCTCCATTCTTACCTTATTTTTTTTAGTATAAAGAACTAACTAGTAAAGGGACCAAAACTTAAAGCTGTGTATGCACAGTGTGTGCCATTAGTCTTAAAACACAGCCCAAGGAAAGTCTCTTAGGATCAAATTCTTTAGAAATATAAGCTTTGAGACTAGAATGTATTCATGAGCATCAATCCAAAGTTGTAAGCTATATACTAAATAATGTTCTCCAACCAAACAATGTAATAGAAAGTAGTAAGAATCCCAGAGCTGCTCAATGGGTCATATTTATCTAAAATACTTTATTGTTAGGATTAGCTTCATAATAAGCACAGAGTTAAGGGCCTGAGGGTTGACTTTAGAGATAAGGTAACCCTAGATCAGGAAGACAAATAGGCTTTAAGATTCATTAGTTGGTAGTCACAACCTATTACAATGAGCCCGGCCAGGTTCAAAAGACACAAAGAATGTGACCAAGAGGCTCCATCTGATTTCCATGCATTTATTCAATACTGCATGCCAACTACTGTGAGATACCAGGGAGAGGGCAGTACATAAAAAGAAAACAGGTTAAGATTTAGCACCCCATCATCTGTTCGCCCTTTTGGTCTATTTCACTTTGTTCTAGTTTTTAATATTTT